CTATTATTAGTTAGTAACTATTTCATACACACATGCATATAATGTGACATTCTGTTCCACCCTTATGCCCCTATCTGGCAACCCCCAGAAAAAAATCCTTAACCCACCCCTCTCAAAGAGAGAATGGAATAATGACGAAAAGATTAGGTAAGAGAAAAATTGATTCAGAATGCAGGGCATTTAAGCTGCAGTGGACAAACGATTATTTTTTGTTCATCTGTCAAGAGGTGGTGGCGGTATTGAAAGAATACAATCTGCGGCAACACTATGAATCCCGTCACAAAGACAAGTATGATAGCTTGCAAGCCAAATGCGAGCAAACAAACTCTCAAAGCTAAAAAGTGGACTGTTAGCTCAGCAGAATACATACTGTGAAGAAACCAGAGAGGGTTATTTGATCGTGGTTTCTGGAAAACAATAAATTTTTACATTTAGGCACTCCTGCAATAGTCACGCTTTTTCTGTTACAAACTGACTCCGGCCCCCCATCAGAGAAGGGAAAAGTTATGTGGCCCTTACAGGAAAACGTCTGGGGACCCCTGTCCTAGAGGGAGAAGGGGGAAGAGGAATTTTCTCATTTGTTAATAAAAGTGTCTGTCAATTTTTTGTGGCATTTATTTACTTATTATATTGTGCCACTTCATTTTGGTTGTCTCTTTTCCTTGAAGGATGTCCACATTGACCATGTTTTAGTAAATCTATCCAACTGCAAATTGAGCCAGTGTGTAATTTTTCCCATTAGAATCCATAGTCTCCATCCCTTCTCTCTATGTGGGAGGTTCAAAGTGCTTCCACATGCAGCATAACCACTGCCCTCTGCCCTGTGCTCTCAGTTTCTTCAATCCTACTTTGGCTTTCTAGTCTGTTGTTTGTCTTGTATAATTCAGTGAGTTGTTTAGCTAGCATTGGACATTCGTCTTCATTGCTGGTCATTGCCAAGTTTTGCATTCTCCTATTTGATTTTTGTTAGCCCTACTCTCTGTCATATTTGTTTCACTTCATTGTTCTGGGTATTCTCGACTTTTAGGGACATTTTCTGTGTCTGTCAGGGAGTTCAGAAATCAATCTTGTCCGTTGATTCCCCCAAAGTCCTGTATAACAGTTTCTGTGTGTCATAACAGACTACAGTAGCATTCATCACATTCACATGGTCAAGTGGTGACATCACCTGTACACATAAACTGTCAGAATTTATGCATTTGTGTCTCTTTGCTATAGGACTTGTGGTTTTCTCTCAAACCCCTTCAGTGCAGAGCGTCAACCTCTCAATAACTTCCATTGTATCTGAGTTCTGAATTATGTCATTAAAACTATAAGTGTATTTTTAGCATGTGATGTTAACCACAGCCTATCAGGTCCTTCTGCCACTTAAAGTTCAGAATTTATTTTAATGCAACTGAGTTTTTGCACAGTGACTGTCTGAAGCTTACTCTGTGTTCCTGTCTACCTCTCTTAGAAGTGCTGGCAGACACTGGTATGTTATGTCATGGTACCTTAGTGACTCTAATGAGCCACTGGCAGCAACTTTAACATTTCTTTTGATCTTGGGTCTCTCTTTATACTTCTTACACCAGTTCATAGATGACAATTTTGGCATTCTACATGAGTGACACAGTATTCTTCGTCAATTTGGTGCCAACTCTCTTTGATAGCAGTTGCCAGATCAGCTTTGCAGGTCGGAGCCTGCTTGTGGACCATTTTTTTTCAATTTCCACCACAGGTTTTGCATTGGGTTGAGATCTGGACTATTTGCAAGCCATGATATCCACAGAATGTGTCTGTCTCAAAGGAATGCCTTCACTGTTTTTGCCTTTTGGCACGATGCATTGTCATCTTGGAAAATTATTTCATCACCTCCAAACATCTGTTCAATTGAAGGGATGAGAAAACTGTCCGAAATGTCAATGCAAACGTGTGCACTGATAGAAGAATTAACCACAGTCATCTCCCCAGTGCCTTTACCTGACATGCAGCCCCATATCATCAAGGACTGTGGACATTTGGTTGTTTTCTTCAGGCAGTCCTCTTCATAAATCTGACTGGAACAGGACTAAACAAAAGTTCCAGCATCATCACCTTGTCCAATTCAGATTRTTGACTCATCACTGAAGATAACTTTCATCCAGTTATCCACAGTTCATGATTGCCTCTCCTTAGCCCTTTGTAGTCTTGTTCTTTTTTGTTTAGGTGTCTGATGGTTTTCTTTTAGCTTTCCTGTATTGAAATCCCATTTCCTTTAGGGAATATCTCATGGTTCGGTCACATATATTGGCTCCAGCTTCCTCCCATTTATGCTTCATCTGTTTAGTTGTACTTTTTCGGTTTTCAAGACAAATGGCCTTAAGCTGTTTGTCTTGATGCTTTGATGTCTTTCTTGGTCTACCATTACGCATGGCTTTAACAACCATTCCATGCTGTTTATATTTGGTCCATATCTTGGATACAGCTGGCTGTGAACAGCCCATATCTTTAGCAACTATGCGTGAAGAGTTACCTTCAAGAAGTTTCCCAATCCTCTCTTTTGTTTCAAGAGYCATTTCTCTTGTTGGAGCCATGGTTCTTTGCCACTCCACTTCGTCCAGCAGCCCTCCAAGGTGTCATGACTGCAGGTGGTTTTAACTGCAGACTAATGAGCAGATCTAATCTGAGGCAGGTGTCCATTTAGGGAAAGGAAATTGACTGGGTGTGTCCTTATTTTCTACCTCCAATTTGAGTGATTCCATACTTTTTCCCTCAGAATTGAGTGATTCCAAATGTTTTTCCCTGTATTTGGTCAATAAAAGTAACATTCACTGACTTCCACAATGTTTTCTCTTCATTTC